TCTACGGGGTTTAACTGTAACACATCACATATTTAGGTCACCGTGTTTCCTTTTATTGGTTTAAAAATGTTATATTTGCCCCAAACCGCATATTAACATGTTTTACAAGTTTCCTGAGACTCCCCTCTCTGTGCTAAGACACCCCCCTTCAGAGCAATGAAACTCCCGCACGTCACATCCAATTTGTAATTTTGCTGTGCACAGTTTTGTATCACGTTTTCGTATATTTATGGAGAATTGTCGCGTGGGAGCGTGGGTGATGAAGACTTGTGGGCGGAGCCTTGAACAGAACTATAAGGAGGGTTTGAATAGGGCCCGGGAGAGATCGCTAGATGACTCAAACATGCATGGATGACTCTAAAAGCTCTTCAGGTGTGTTTGTGATGAGGGAACGACGTTATAACGTAGGAGAAAGCTAAAACATACTTTCTTTTTTTTTTCATAATACCCCCGCTTTAATAAGAATTTCAAATTGGATTTCAGATGTAGAATTTGATGATGACACATTGCAGACTGTGTGATAAAGATGTAAAGATAATATCAAACTTTTAGAGAATTTGAAATTAGAAACCCTTTTAAATTCAACAGCGTGAAACTGCCCATGTTCTATCTGCTCATAAGACAAAAGAAATGTCTGTGGGTTGTGTCGGAGCTGTCACCCATGTGTTGTGTCTGTGTGTGTGTGTGTGTGATGTGTGTGTGTTGTGTTGACAGAAGCCAGTGAGCGAGACCGGCGTGACATGGTTAAACGCTCCTCTAATAAGCTCCGCCCTCTCTTTGCTTTGACTGTACTGCAGAGATGATGGACCAGCGCTGGAGGAGACACATAAAGCTAAGACAATGTGTGGTTTAAAGGTCCTATATTACACAAAATGGATCTGTGTGAGCATTAAGTCAGGTTAGAATGCTGTTCCCTCCTCAAAAACACGCCCAAAGTTGTGTTTTGTTTCATTCACACATGTTTGAGTAACTCTGCTCTGAATGCTCTGTTCCACCTTGTGATGTCATGAAGCAGGAGTTTTGGTAAATGGTCACATTTTTATGCAACGCTTTTCCACCTTCAAGGCCCTCAAAGCGCTTTACGTGAAGAAACTGCTCACTCATTCACACACTCACTCCGACTTTTACCTTTTGTTTAGTAAAAAACTGAAATTCCCGAGCTGAAATTATCCAAATGATTCTAGTGAAGGAGTGTGGAGTTTAACAAAAACGTGGAGCACTTTGGTCCATGTACGATTTGTTCTTTTGAATTTCAATTAAGAACAAAAAAAAAATCAAATGTGAAAACTGTTTATTTCATTTTTTTCTGTTTCACTGTCAAACAAATAAACAGATTTCGACCTCTATTTCCAAGATTTAATTTAAAGTTTATTTCAAATAACCCAAATCAAAATCTCTGTGCCTATTGTAATTCTGATATTTTATTCTCTCTGGATAATTTGCTCTAGAAGTTCTTCTGCTCAGCGTCACATGTGAGTTCAGAGTCAACTGAACAAAGGGTTCAGAGTTTATCAGTTTCCTGTTTCTCGTCCTGGAGTTCAACATTTACTTTCTAAGACACAAAAGTAAATGAGTCTCTATAAAAGAAGACAACATGTTTGTCCACAAAACTGCAATGGTTTTTCAGGTGACTCCTTCTAGCAGCAGAACTTCAAGGCCAAATAAACCAGAGAGAATAAAATATCAAAATTAACATTGGCACCGAGGTGTTATTTGAAAAAAAAACTTTGAATTAAATATTGGAAACAGAGGTTGAAATCTGTTTTTTTTTGTTTGACACTAAAATGGAAAAATGTAATAACAAACTTTCTTTTGTTCTTGATTGAAATTCAAAAGAACAAACATGGACCCACTTCCTGTTTGTATACATTAGGGATGGGCATGATTAGTCGAATAGTCGATAATTGATCACTAAGAATTTCGTCGTTCATTTTTAATCGATAAACTGAATGTAGGTTGCTGTGCATAACGTATTATGACCAAACATCCATTTTCCACATTATGTCCTGGCCGTCCGGGACGGCCAGGACATAATGTGGGTTAGTCAGTGGCTGCTGTGTCCACATAGTTCCCAGTCTCTAATCTCTCTGATTAGGTCAAATTGTCTGTCTCTGCATCTTTCTCATCAAATGAATTACGTTTTAATATCTACAATAAGTAACATCATCCAGTCCTTCAGTTTTGTCTTCCACACATAACGTCTTGTATCATTTAATAAATATTCAATGTATGAACAAGAACAAATCACAGTGGGGTAGAGGCTCTTTAAGTCCTGTCCTGGCCGTCCAGGCTTTTTGAAGTGATGTAAATGTTAAGGTTTTCATTTCCTTTCACTGGGCCATTAAACTGAGCGTCTCTCATAGCTCTCTGCACTCAGAAGGAGCGAGACACAGACAGTCGGTCAGTCTGCAACATGCCGAAGCGCAAATGTGCATTTAACAATGACTTGGACAAGAAATTCCACACTTTCCGTCCCGGATGAGACAAGTGTGAGTCCATGTGCACAGTGTACAAAGCAGCACATATGTTTCGGTGTCCAGTGGTGGTGCCAGGGACCTCAAAGCACCAGGACACCGAAAAACATGAAAAAGTTTTACCAAGTGAGAGTCATTCAATGTCGATGACGAGGCCCCACCTCCCACCCCCTTTACGGTGTCCTGGTTTTGACAAACGCAAATATGGTCACACTAACCTGTATTCCACCGAGTCATGTCTTTTAATCTGACAGAAGTTGAACCGCATCCGCGACACAAGAACAGTTTTTTCTTCGCTTAGTTTATGTAAATGACCTATGTGGTTTTAAGTTTTGTTTCTGTGAGACTTGCACAAAGCTGCATTAAACACATTCTAATGTCAAACGGGCTGATGTGGCTCTAGATCAGTGGTGCTCACACTTTTTCAGCATGTGAGCTACTTACAAAATGACCAAGTCAAAATGATCGACCTAATACAAAGCCAAACAAACTGCACTGAAACACTCTGTGGCCCTTTTTTGGAGCCTCACCCACAGTTTGAGAACCTCTTCTTTAAGAGAACTTCCTCTGGCACTTTACACAAAACTGTGAAAAAAGTGAAGGAAGATTTTTAAACCTGTTTTTTAAAGTTCCAAACTGGAGTTTCATTCTTTTCTGGTTTTGCAGTGATATTTACCAGCCTCTGCACGTTTACCAAACCAAACACACATCGTGACAAACACAGATGCATTTGTGCACTTTTGTTAGACAAACTTCAGCCAAATGTGGCAATAGGTCTGTTCTGTAGATCCGCTCTATGCTGTAGACCTGCTTTGTGCCAACACTGGAACACAAATTTAGACTGGTTTTTGCTTCACATTTGGTCTTGCTCTTCTAATCAGCCGCACTGTGGCAGGGGCTTGTGTTCGCTGTACGCAGGAAGGAAGAGTGAGAGCGTGAAAAGGCGAGGGGCGGCGTGCTGACGTGAGGCAGATGGACAGGTAGGATGTTTAGGAAGTTGAACCTGCCCTGTGATGCACGCTGGTACACGAGGGCACACGCTGTTGCAGACGAGCCGTGCATAGGGAGCGTGTGTGTTTGTGATGTGCCGTAGAGTCTCTGCGGGTTTCAAATGAGCGCACAGGCTGCACTGAGACGCCCCACACACTCCTGCACCCGCAACAAGTTTATTACCAACAGCAGCGGCCGCAATGAAATATGATCACACTTGTTGAGTGTCAGACCTCGAGTGAAAGACAAGACTGACTCCAAACGCGATCGAGTCCGAGACGAGACACGGCGATCTACCCACACGACCTTGGCGATCGACTGGTAGATCGCGATCGACTTATTGAGCACTCCTGATCTAGAGTGGTTACGGTTTATATGTCGTAAAGTTGAATTTATTTATGCAGATTAGTAGTGCAGATAGTAATAATAATGATGATCATTTGAATATAAAAATGTTACTGATTAATCGATAATCGATCGTTAATTCTCTCGATGATCGATTAAGAAAATTTCATCGAATGCCCATCCCTAGTGTACATGACATCACAAGGTGGAACAGAGAGTTTTGTGTTCGACAGGAGAAGTCCAGGTGTGTTTTTGACAAGGAAACAACATGATAATAGAGATGAGAATAATATGGGCCTTTTAAGTACAATGCATTTCAACAAATAAAAAACTTAAATTATAAAGGCCTTGTTGAGACTCCTTCATTTCAGTCACTGCAAAAATAATAAAAATGTTTATATTATCACCTAAACTAACTATAATAATAATAATAATAACAATAATAATAATAATAAGTTAAATTGCTTCTTAAATAAATCAATATATGAATTCATTTAACCCTCGAGACAGAGTTTCCCTTGTAAAACCTTAAAGAGCTGAACAAAAAGAATAAAAAGTCTATATTTCTGGAATGTTTTCAAAAAGTCTACTACAAAAGTTCACGTCTGGCTAGCTCAGTCTACACGCATGCTAACACCGCCGCTGCTCTTAGCGTAAAGTCCATTTCTGCGCTGACGGTGCGGCGGAAACATCGTCCTGGAACCGCCAGAACAAAAATAATCCACAGACAGAAGGTAAAATGTATCCCTGTTTGTCCAGAGCGGCGGACAGCACAGTAGTCTGGTCCAGTCTGTTAGCCGTTAGCAGTGTGAGGTTAAACGGTGTGTCGTTTCTTAGAACACAGTAAGTCGGTCCATTCCTGTGCTTTTAGCTGTTAGCATTAGCCACATTCTCGTCTCCGTTCTTCCGCTGAAAAACAAAATGGCTTCCTGCGCTTCTGTTTGGCGCTTCGAGAGTCGTTTGGTCGTGGGGAGGAACGTTTCGCGACCCATCCGCCGTCCTCTTCCTTCTCGCATTTTCAGCGTCCAAACCGAAGCCAAGTGAAGCGGCGGGTCCCGAGTGAAGCAGCTCTGTTTACATGGGGGGAGCGACCGGGCCCGGAGACAAAAACATACACAACATCTAAGACTCTACAGCGCCGCCCGAGGGACATCCCGCGTCCCGCTGTCGGCGGCGTGGAGGAGGGAAGGCCTAGACTGCATTGGTGAGTTCGGACAGCGGGGTGAGATAGTGGCTGGGGTGGCTGCCTCGGAAGCTGTTGGCGGACGAGGCGGGGCAGGCCGGGGACGGGGAGCCCTGAGGTCGCAGCACCGGGGCAAAGGCGCTCTTCTGTTTGGCGGCGGACGGGAACGAGGAGAAGGGCAGAAGGGAGGAGGAGGACGAGCTGCCCGGGACCGTGGGGCTGGAGGGCATGACTGTGGAAAACACACATGGTTAGAGGAGGGCTACACACACACACACACACACACGGTTAGAGGAGTGACCCCAAACGGCCTGCAGTCTCTGGGTCGCAGGTTTTGGGTTACAGCTTTTACCGTTCATGAGGGACAGATGCTCTAAGTGCCCACCCACCTGTGGTCCTACACGACGTTTACCTCTCACTGTTCACACTGGAGGTTTCAGAGGAGAGTCCACTCCAGACACAGTGAGTGTTCATCTTATCATCTCTGCTCTGTTCATTTTAGGCTAATTACTAAACACTGGGAGTGGGACATTAATGAATTATTTACAGTTAATTAATTACTAAGAAAATAATGCATTCAAAATACTGACACATTTTATCGCAGTAAACCAAACATGCCAAACAACACAGAACATTTGTCAGTGCTCCATGTCGTGGTACGACAATTATACTGACGCACACTGTTCCCACTACAACAACAGTGCAGCAGCATGAAAGCCTCTGGGTCTGCTGGACGGGACATTTCTATTCAAAAAAACTAATGAAAATTTGTTGTTTATTGCAAACTGCGCAGAAAAGAGTTTCATATCACAGACGCACCTCAACCCTAAAAGACCCTTTAAATGAAAAACATGTGACAGAACAGAAACTGGAGCAGTTCTGGTCTGAGTACAAACAAGAGGTGTGAGCCCAAACTCCAACACATGACAAGCTTCACGAAGAAAATGAGTAAATGAGTAAGGCAAATATTGTTATGTAATTAACTGAGATGAATTAATTACAAAACCTTTAATTCATTTTTATTATTTTTTTTTTTATCAAATCCCACCCCTACTAAATACTACTGAAAATATATCTAACAGTTTACTTCCAGAAGAGATGTATAGCACATTTTGTTCAATTTGTTGAGCCTGTTTTGTCCATGAAGAGGAAAAGTCTTAACGTAACAATTGTAAATGATTTGCTACCCCTTACTAATGCTCCAAAATGATCAAATATTAATATTTTAAAAAACATTTACTTTTCATGTATTTGCATAAATCAGTTTTATTTGACATAATAATAAATGATGCCCCTCTTATAGGTACTTTATCAGACCTGGGCATTGTGCAGCTCCGGGTCACATACAGTCCTTTGGTCGACTCTGACCGGCCCATTTAAACTCATTTGGAAACAAAATAAACATATTTTATAATTTGACTTCATGCATGGACTAAAGCTGTATTGCTTTTATTTTACAGGTGTTTTTTTAATGACATTTTTTTGTTGGGCAGTCTCACTTTTTCATTGCTTAGTCAAACCTAAACTCTTCCCAGTCTGAGCAGCTCATTAAAACAATGATATTTATGCTTTTATAAAGAAATACTAATATTAGTATTAATATTTCTTTATTATTAATATTCTGCAGAATTGAATTAAACATTTTGGCCTCCACAGTATTTTCAGTTTCTCATGTGGCCCTGTAGAACAGAACTGTCCTCCTGCTCTGTATGATGTGAGTGGTAGACTTACTGTACGGTGATCCGGTCGGGGAAGCGCTGTTGAACCCGGGCGAGCCTGGCACTCCCAGGCTGGTCATAGGGACGGTCCCGTACCCTCCGGTCATGCCCCCGCTGCTGCCGTAGCCACCCTGCTGAGGAGTGGAGGCCGAGGGGTACCCCCGAGGAGACAGGCTGCTGGAGTTACGGATGTACCCTGTGGAGGAGAGAGAGAGGAGGGAGCCGGGTCAGGGTCAGGTTTAAATCAGGTTTAGTTTGGGTCATTGTTTAGTCCAGATTTAGTCCTGGTTCAGTCCTGACTCCTGACATAGTCCTGGTTTAGTCCTGGTTTAGTCCTGGTTCAGTCCTTGACCCCCTGGCCCTCCCTGTGTGCGCTGAGTGTGAGGAGCACCTTGGCTGCTCTGGACGGGTTCTCCGATGACCCCCAGCTGTGAGGGGTAGGAGCCCAGGCCCATGACGCTGCCGTGGGCCGGGGAGCTGGGCAGGGCCTGGAGCTGGCTGTGGGGCCGAGGGACACTGTAGAGGGCCTCTGCGATGTCCGCCGCCCGCTTCAACAACATGTCCTGAGAGAGAAGACAGAGTCAGACTACACAACTGCTACTGCACAAACCACAGAGCCCAGGAAAATACTATGGTTTTATGAAACATGTGCACTGTTAGCATGCTAGTTGTTGTTACAATGATGGCAAAACCTCATGATGGGCGGATTGAAATGAAATATTGATATATCAACAGTGACATATCAAAAAGTATCAATTCTTGTTTTTTGTAACATTTTAATACATTTTTAAAATACATTCTAGTTTATCTGCACATTCTGCATGTTTATTTTCATCATGCAGGGGTGGAGCAAAGACAGTGATGCTAAGGTCATATTTCTACAACAAAGGAGTTTCACTGTATTTTAATACAAAACTCATCAATATTAGTATTGGACCAATATTGTAAAATCTGACAGAGAACTTCTTTAGAAAAGGTTTAATCTGAAAGTGAGGAAGAGGCACTGCTTTTGTGTTTTGAGGCTGAACAGTACAGTGCCTTTAAACCAGTGTGACGAGTGAATCATTCATGAATATAGAATGCATTCAAAAGTTTGAAGCACAATACAAATGTGACACATTCTTATGAGTTGATTACAGATGAAGAGTCTGTGAGTAAAGTACCTGATTACTGTGAGGGTTTCCGTACAGAGCCTCCACCAGATCAGCCGCTCTCTTCAGCAGAATTTCCTGCAGAGGAAAAACATTCAGTCAGTATGTGTTTTAGTTTTTGTGAGTTATTTGATGGTCATTCACTGGATCCGCCTTTACTGATGTTTCCATATTTGAGTTCCACAGAACCACAGTTTGTTCAAATTAAGTGTAAGTCTGAGAATCATAAAGAACAGTTACACACTGCCCCCTGCCCCCGTGTCCCTCTCACATGTGCCCGGATACTCTCACCTTGGCGAGCTTCTCTGGGTCTCCTGGATGTCGTGGGATGACCTTCTGCAGACGCTGGAAGCCGTAGTCTATAGTGGGCTCATTCAGAGCTGAAACATAATCAAACATATTTACTACATGCGGCAGGTTAGAGTTTTAAAATAGCCTAGAACACTAAACTGACTCTTATCCATGTCACATTGTGCTTTCAAACTACAGAAATGTTGTTTCACTTGCACAGCATTTTTGTACAAAAAAAACAACACTTTTCCACATCTTTTAAAGTCTATATTTCACAAACTGACTCTTGTGAGCTTTAAGTCATAATGTTGTTCCCTCATCAAAAACAGACCTGGAGTTGTGTTTTGTTTCATTTACACATGTTTGAGTAACTCTTTATTATTAGTCTGTCTACATCTCCAAACCTCAAAATGCTCTGTTCCACCTTGTGATGTCATGATGTTATAGTTTTCAAGTGAACAGCTCTTTACCTTTAGTTCTGTAGAGATAGACAATTCTGGGGCTGAAATGATCCAAATGATTCTAGTGAAGGTGTACAGATTGTTTTTCGATTGAGAGAAGAACTCATGCTAAATGTGCAGTGTGTGTTAAAATGTGTGAATGAAACAAAACATAACCCCAGGTGCGTTTGTGATGAGGAAACGTTACAATATAGATCAGAATAAAGTGGCATATGGACATTTAAAACATGCATTGCAAAACTAAGATGCCCCAAAGTCCCACATGACAGAGATTGTTTCTAGGAGCGCTGTAGTGTGATGTCGGGGTCCCTCTCACCTGTGTAGATGAAGCGTCCCGGGGCCCCTTTGCAGAACTGTTTGGACTTGTAGGACAGAGTGACCTCCACGACCCCGGGGATGTGCCGAGGAGGAGTCTGCACCCGGATGGCGTGTGGGGTGATCAGCTACAAGAGCAGAACCAAAACACAGTCAAGACATTACACTGCACTACTGACTATTCCTCAGATCATCTAGTTTTCCTTGTATTTAATTATTTGGTTCAGAGTTTTGTAGTATTTTGAGATATGACACATACAATTTTGCGTCTTTTTTGTATTGTATAGTACGGACAATTTTATTTGAAATGAAAAAAAATCTGCACCAGACAGTAAATCTACAGAAAAGTCTAAATTGGACCCTTGTAAATATCCAGTCACATACCTCACTCCACACTAGCATGCTGCCGAACACCACCTGGAGCCCGTCAAAGAAGTTCTCCCCGATGACGATGACCATAGCGCCCCCTGTGGTCCAGCCCTCGCTCGGACTGATGGCTTTGATACACGGGGTGGCTGCAGGGACAAAACAGGGATGGTCAAAACTGATATATTATTAAGTTCAAACTTTGTCTGCTATGTCCTACCAATAATTAAATTGAATGAAATGTACATGTTTTTCATTCTTTCTTTGGTGTAAAGTGTCAAGCACCTGGCTCAAATATTTGTAAAAGCAGAGACAGGCTACTTTGTCAGATTATTTATGTGAATCCAATCAAACGGGTCAGAATACTCAACTCAAAATCCTTAAATCAAGATGAATTTGTGTGATTTGAGAGCAGATCAGTGTGTGGTGGTGTTCTCTCGTGTGACAGCTGTGAGCGGAGCCGTTCCTCTTAAATAAAAGCTGTGTTTAAAGCTTTGATGAGCTCTTAATGATGATGTGCTCCTAAGTGGAGCTGCTCCGGTGATCGATCTGGTGATTAGCATTTGGACGTTAACTAACCAGCGTCAGCCATTCCAGCTCGGCTCTGGAGATGTTCTGAAGGAGACGTTATGAAGAACACAAATGAGCTGTGACACTGTGAGTGTGTTTATCAGCTCTGAGCATGGACAGACGTTTTCTGGAACTTTCAGGATTAGTTTTTCTTTAATATATATGTTTTTAAACGTTATCATCCCAAACATATACTTTTCTCATTTTTCCAGCTTGTTAAAGGTGCATTATGGAACTTAGACCCTTTTACACTGAAACAAATTCATGTATCACTGTATCAGCATATCGGAAATGATCTGCGTCCAGACACGTCGTTTCTGTGTCCATAATCAAAGTGTTCCCTGTCCACACAGTAACGCAAAACTGCCTGAAACGCTGGTCACGTGATCGGCTGGTGTCACGTCTTCACGATGTCCCGACGTCACGTTTGCGGTAAAAACAAGGAAGTCTGAAGTTGCAGCAGCTGATTTTGAGCCGAGGGAAGTGTAAAAACTGTTTTTCGTGGACCAACGATAAGGTTCCGTTGTTACTTAGCATAACACTGGATTTTAAGACGAGCATGGCGGCTCAGAGTGACGACTGACTCCTTTCTGTGTCCGCAAGCCTTCACTATCCACACAGGTTTGAGCGCATTTGTTTACGTTTTACAGTAATGAAACTTAAAACCACATGGCTAATTTGCATAAACTAAGCGCTCAAAAAAACTCGCTATTGTGTATCAGCTTCTGTCGGACTAAAGGACACAACTCAGTGGAATATGAGTGTTTTTTCTGTGTCAGAGGGGTGTTCTGCTGATGGTGAGTTTGTTCTGTTCTTCTATTGCGTTGGAAATAGTTCAGAGATTATACGGCCTATGCGTACGATCATACACATAGACTGTTTATATGAATGGATATATAATCTAGCTTCTTAGAGTTTTGGCTCTGAGTTAGCTACTTCACGGCACATAGAACTACATCAGCGTATCTGTGTATCGGTGTTTTCATGCGTCCCCACAGTGCTGGATCAGATCTGGACTCAGATGAATTCGTAGGAGCTGGAGGCACCAGATCGTTCTGTCTCTGGAGCCGAATGAACACTGCATTCACAATGAAAACCACTCAAATATGTACTAGTGTGGACGGGGCCTCAGGAGAAGGTACAGGAGTTGGCACCTGCTTATTTCCATGGAGATATTATTGCATTGTCTGAAATGTTGTTCAGTATGGCATTAAAGAGGAGGTATTTGATACTATATATACTAATTTTAAGTGTAACACATAACACATGGAGATCACCATTTTACTTTCATTTTTGCTCCTTGCGAGTCACTCCCCCTTCAGAGCACATCACAACACACTCAGCGTGCGTCCCTCTAATGAAACTCCTGCACTTCTCATCAGGTTCGTCCAGTTGCCGTGTACAGTTTTGTATCATGTTTGTTTATATTATTTATGGAGAATTGAGGTGTGGGAGCAAAAGGTGACACTATCACACCAGGTTACAGATCAGATCTGAGGAGAGGTGAGTCTAACCATAGTAAACAGACAGTTTCCTCAGTCATGTGAGTAGAAGAACACATGATGACATGTGATGAAGCGTCTCACCGTATTCGATGGGGTTCTCGGCGCTCTCCCCCGGCTCCAGTCTCCTCGCGCGGCGCCCATGTTTGGAGTTGTTGTGGACAAACATGTTGTCAGACACAGCGAGGACATGTCCATCTACACTGACCGTACTGGACAGGACCACCTGAGGGACAGCAGCCATGTGTGAGAACAGGGGACATGTGTGAGACAAGGGGACACGTGTGAGACAAGGGGACACGTGTGAGACAAGAGGACACGTGTGAGACAAGGGGACACGTGTGAGGACAGGGGACATGTGTGAGACAAGGGGACACGTGTGAGACAAGGGGACACGTGTGAGGACAGGGGACACGTGTGAGACAAGGGGACACGTGTGAGACAAGGGACACGTGTGAGACAAGGGGACACGTGTGAGACAAGGGGACACGTGTGAGGACAGGGGACACGTGTGAGACAAGGGGACACGTGTGAGACAAGGGGACACGTGTGAGACAAGGGGACACGTGTGAGGATCAGCTTATTTCTGATTTGGTTGTTTAGGAAACATTTAGGGACTTTTGACTGTACATGTTTACATTCTTATTGTAGTGTATGTGTGTTTTATTTGGATTCTGCATCATTTCAAAGGGTGAACTCTCCGTTTGGACCATTTGAAAGACGTGTGAGTGTGGCTCATGTCTCTGTGAGGAGTTTGTAGATAAATAACTTCTCACACTGGCTTCTGTCATGTAAAGAAACAGTCAAAGAGCCAATCTTTTGAACGACTCTTTTACATCAATGGAGCGACAAGATTTGAATCCCAAAAGGAGTCAAAAGTCTGGTCACTAGTGTCAGTACGTGTCCATCAGTGTGTGAGGTGAGCTACTACTTCCATTAAACATTAAACAGTTTAGAGAACATGACAAAAAGAATCATTCTCATAAAAATTCATATTTTAAGTTAAAAAATAAAGAACTTTTTCCAAATAAAAGTTTGAAGTTTGAAGTAGTCTCACTCCCAAAACACATGTCGTTCACCCTCTAACCACAGGGTCTCCAGTTCAAGCCTCCAGCAGCTCTCTAGAGCATATACTGTACTGTGGCCTATTAAATATTATATAGTGTCTAGTGAGACACAAACTCTTTCCTTCTCTACTCCACTGCCTCCGAGCTCCTCTGGGTCCTGCAGGTGTCCAGTCCTCCCCTCGTCTCCTCTCCTCCCCTCCTAACCTCCTCTCCCTCCTCCCCCTTCTCTCCTCCCCTCTCCTCTCCAGGCCTGTGAACCATGCAGCTGTTCAGTCCCTGTCCACAGTGCAGTGCACATGGACCTCAGACTGGCCCCTAAACCTTGTGTGATCTATGGAGGGCCTAATGTGATTTTGTGGGCCCCGCTGGTGAGTGGTCCCCACTCACATGTGCTGAGGGCGGACGGAGGAGGCGCACACGGGGTCTGGCCTGTCACAGTGAATGTACGGTTTTATGGCGGTGGTCCTCGATATGTTACAGATGCGTCGCCATGGGAACGAGCATCAATTGTACTATTTCAGTGAGCCAAATAAAAATATAAAGTATAGGTCGATGGAAAGAGCATGGACCTAAATCACACTGGCGGTGTATTTATGAGACTCCAGAAATGTTTCTGCTGTTATCCAACTGTTAAAGGGCCACACACAAAAACTGAAGGGTTAAAATGCCAGGGTGAAATATTTCAGAGTTGTTTTTAACACAAAAAGTGTTATTTTAACTACTTTACTGATCTATGTTGGAGTTTTTCACTTGAAAACTACCACTTCATGACATCACAAGGTGGAACAGAGTATTTTGAGCTTTAGAGATGTAGACAGCAGGATTACTCAAACATGTGTGAATGAATAACAAACACAACACAACTCCAGGTCAGTTTTGGGGAGATAACAACATTCTAACATAACTAAAAAGTCACAAAAGTCCATAGTAAATGTGAGTGACCTGAATGAGACAAGTGAGAGAACCATGAGAACATGAGCTGCAGGAGAGGAACATGAGAGAGAACCGGAGCCCAGGAAAAACAGTTATAAATGGTGCTGAGCTGTCCTCCTGCGCTCACCTCCTGACCCGCACCCGCAGCGAGAGGACCCCAAACCCCCCATCACCACCACCACCAACCCCTCTATCCCACACAGGTCTGCAGAAGCTAAAGCAAACAGACGGGGGGAGATGGTCCTGACTAAAGCCTCTTCTCCTCTGTGTCCACCAGCAACTACAAGAACAGACTCTATGTGACTGATAGTGAATAACTTTAAGAATTCACGAAGGATATTTAAGTTTTGTACATTTTCAACCATTTTGTACTGACTAATGGTCTTATTTCTGTCTATTCTGTTTCTGTAATGTATTATTAGTTATTTGTGTTTTTCACTTTTAGCAATATAATATTATATATATAATATATATATATAATCAACCACAAGTAAAAATATTTGTGCATGTATGTATATATGTGTTTATGCATGTATGTATGTATATATGTGTTTATGCATGTATTTATATATGTATGTATGTGTGTATGTGTGTGTGTGTGTGTGTGTGTGTGTGTGTGTGTGTGTGTGTGTGTGTGTGTGTGTGTGTGTGTGTGTGTGTCAATCACATGTTTAGGTAAAACAATTGGGGCAGGACACGATAAGTTTTTTATCCTGCTCATTTTGAGCACCAGAAATGGTCCCAGACATGAACATGTCCTTCTGTTTGCATTGTACCTTGCTCAAACAAAAATTAAAAAATACATCAATAAAATGATATACAGCATGTACATTTACTATGATCTATTTATTATCACTTATTTATTTATTTATACATTTTTTTATATATCTGAAAAGAAAAATTTTGGGGGGTATTTCTACTGTTCTTATCAGAAAAAAAGAAAAAAAAAACATTTTATTTGTTTAGAATGAATATTACTGTTGTCCTTGTACTTTTCTGTTCCAACACTGTAATTTTCCCATTATTATAATAATTATTATTAATATTATCTCATATTGTATCAAGTCAAAATGATCCTGACAAAAGTCAAACGGGAGGTTCGAGTACTCGCCCACACAGGAAAAAGTATCTGACTTGGAGTATTTATCACTTTCTCGCAGCAGACGGAGGAGTGGAGAAAGGCGCGGCGGCCGGGGGACAGAGCGGCGCTGAGAGACGCACAGGAAGTGAGGCGGCCGGTCCCCAGTGAGTACTTCCTGGGTCACAGAGCTCGACCTCTCCATCTGGAACCAATCACTCAGCTCCTGACCACTTCCTGAACACCTCTGCACTTCCTGCTCCCAGCGGCCCGGCCCGGCTCGGCCCGTTTGTCTTTCCACGTCGCACTGAGCTTATTGATTCTACACTGTGACCTCTGACCCCAGACTGCAGAGAGGGGTGTCAGCGCCTCACACTCACTCTTACACTTTCAGAGGAGAGACGGGTGCAACAAGTACAAGGAATTATGAGAATCATTTGTCACTAAATATGAAACTTTGGATCTCAAAATACTCTGCACTGCAAAAAGTACAAAAAGTACAAGTTACACAGTGAAAAGTGAAGTGTTAAAACTGACTGAATCAAAGTGAACATTTCCTCAGACTGTATATGAGTCCAATCTGTTCTAGAGTTAATTTCACATTTTTGGGAAATGTTCATTAAGTAACACTGGACCAAAGTTCCTGTTTAACCCTGAAATCAAGAGTTATTTATAGTTATATATGAATGTTTTGAGAGTAAACAGATAACACTCTGTAGAGTTATCCTGATTTAGCTAAACAACACACAGAGGTGTTTTATTTTTACACTTTATTTGAGTTAATTTAAGATGAAATTATGAACAAAACTAGTTCAAACTGGTCTACTCTCGTGGGAGTCTGAAGTGGTGGTGGGAAGAGCCAAATTAACACTAAGGCAGGTTGAATTAACACTAGTGAAAGTTGAATTCACTTCAACCATATCATCTCTGAAATTGAAACCCCGTTTAACTTTCACCTAGTTAAAATACAACTTTTTTGTGTTAAAAACAACTCTGAAAGATTTTACACTGAAATTTTAACCATCTAGTTTCTGCTGTGTAGAAAAAAGTCATCTTGATTTGAGTATTTTCCTTGACTTAAATTCCATTAGTTAAAATAAAATACTTTTTGTAGTTAAAATAAGAATATGCATCACTCTTTACACATGTTAAAATGTCATTAATCAAGTTGAATCTACTCAAAAGTCAACATTTCCTAATTTAAGTCATTTAAACTTATCTAGATTGATTTTTTGGCAGTGTGAACATTTTAAAATAGATTTACAGTCTCTTATTTAACAAACCTGTGATCCTTTTGGCTGCAGTTTTGGGGTTATTAGACTGTGTCCTGTGTGTTTTCTGGTTATTGAGTGAGTGTGTTGGCTCCACTGTAGAAACACACACTCACGGAATTTAAATATCTTGAAATAATAATATTATGTTTTAAACAGCCATATTACTCTATTTTCTGATCTATGTTCTCAAGTCATTTCCTCATCACAAACCTGGAGTTGTGTTTAACATGTTGTCACATGTTTAACACACAAACCCTGCACATTTAGGCTGAGTTCTTCTCTCAAACTGGAAACACTCTGTTCCACCTTGTGATGTCATGTAGTAATACAGGAAGCGCTTCACTGTGTTTTAAACTACACACACCTTGACTACAATCATTTCAGATGTGGAATGTACGGAAGCCGGGAGGGTCACAACAAACGCAAATGCCGCAACAAATACAAATGTGACAACACAACAAAAAGCCACAACAAACCAAAAAAAGCCACAACGGAAATGACCGTGGGACTCTATTTTAATACAAAAGCCGCAACAAATACAAACACCACAACACAAACACAAATGCTGCAACACATTAAAAAGCGACACCACATTAAAACGCCACAACACATTAAAAAGCCACAACGGAAGTGACTGCGGGACTCTATTTTCCGACGGAATGATCAAGCGACAAGTGAAGAAGAAGAACTACAACGTGAAAAGTAAAGGAACGGAGAAGTTGGAAACGTAAGTAACAGTAATTTATTGTTTTATCATTATTCATTTCACGTTGTAGTTCTTCTTCTTCACTTGCCGCTTGATCGGTCTGTCGGAAAATCACTTCCATTGTGGCTGTTTTTGGTTTGTTGTGGCTTTTTGTTGTGTTGTCGCATTTGTATTTGTTGCGGCATTTGCGTTTGTTGTGACCCCTCTCGGCTTCCATAGGAATTGTTTACTGGACTAAAAATAAAAGAAGCTTAAGTTGAAAACTAGATGTAAGAGATGTAGACACACTAATAATAAAGGCTTAATAACATTATAACATGGTTTAAGGAGTCAATTTTGTGTAATAAAGGAACTTTTGACTCATTTCTTACACTTTCCTTCTGTTTTGGATGGAGAAATAAGAACAAAAAAATACTGTCCATCAGAAATAATAAGAATACTCTTGTAATTGTAGAAAATGTAAACCTCTTAACACAATCAAGATTTGAATTTTGAATCTGACTTATGTGAACTCGCATTTTTGCCATTGTTCAATTTCAGTCGTACAGGATATGCAGTGTTGGGGAGTAACAGATTACATGTACCAGAGTTACGTAATCAGAGTACAAATTATAAGTAACTGTATTCAGTTACAGTTACTGTTTCAGTGAGTGGTAATTAGATTACAGTTACTTTGTTGAAATAAATGGGTTATATGGTGGTATTTTCCTGTTTTCACATTTTTGGCTATATCCCTTTGGGGGGGGTCTAAACCAGGTTTAAAACCAGGTCTAAACCAGGTCTAAACCGGGTCTAAAACCAGGTCTAAAACCAGGTCTAAACCTGGTCTAAACCAGGTCTAAAACCAGGTCTAAACTAGGTCTAAAACCAGGTCTAAAACCAGGTCTAAACCTGGTCTAAACCTGGTCTAAACCAGGTCTAAAACCAGGTCTAAACTAGGACTAAACCAGGACTAAACCAAAACTAAAACCAGGTCTAAACTATGTCTCAAACAGGATTTAACAGGACTAAATCATGATGTGGACGTGTCTCCTTGTCTTCTATCAATAATATTTTTAATTTGTTTAAGTAAAGTTTGGGCTTTTTATTGTCTTTTAGCAGACAAAACATCTTATGTGAAAATGTTCTGGTCTTTGCTTCTCTACAGCAAATCAAGTAATCCAAAGTATTCAGATTACATTACTCACTTTAAGTAATTTAATGGATTCCGTTACAAACTACATTTAGGGGGATGTAATCTGTAATCTGTAGGGGATTACATTTTAAAAGTCACCTTCCCAACACTGAGAATATGTCTCAATATTTTGTGAGCTGTAATTTGATGTGATGTATACGATCACATGGGCGTTTCTCAAGAGAAGTCTATAGAATATATACGTGTGAATGAGCGTGTACGTTTGGTGCTTTTACATTCCGCACACACACACCCTCCTCCTCCTCCTCCTCTTCCTCCGCTCGTACCTGGAAGCGCCTCATGTCCCTGGGGTTGCCGGCCGTCTTCAGACAGTTCTGGTTACACTTGAGGAAGAACTTCAAGAAAAACCTGCGGTAAACAAGAGAGAGGACAGGGCCATCAGCGCGTCACAGCATTCTCGTACACATTCTCATATCTCCTCATTTCATTTTGCTCTGTTTTAACATAATAAATCAAACGGCGCGAGTTGGAAGCACGGCGGTTTTCAAAGCTGGGCGGATGCGGTGGATGGCGAGGCCTCTGGGGAGACATCGCGCCGCGGTGTATTTGAAACGTCACTGGGGAGTTAGCGGAGACAACTACAGAGGACGTGTGAAGACGAGGGGACGAGGGGACGAGGGGGGGACAGGCAGGGACACGTTTCTACTTCTCAGGCAGATGTGTCTCATTACATATGTGCGGCGCAGGGGTCCGAGGGGTGAGACGCCGAGATGGTCCGCCCGAGGTGGGAGAAATATAGGAAGAATATGAAGAAGGAGAAAAAAAAGCACGGAGGGAAGGAAGGGGGAAAGAGAGTCCAAATTCCCAGGTGGACGCGTTCGGCAACACGGCCCGCTGCCATGGCAACCGAGCTCTGCCGCAGTCCCAGAGTCCCAGAGAGAGGAGAGCATTCCACCAGAGGAGAGACGTGAGAGCCAGACCCCAGTACACTTCTGATATTCGGAAGATTGGACGCAGATTACAGATAATGTTGGTCATAGTTTTGGAAGTGTGAGTTTTAAAATGGTTTCAGATTGTTCTTGTTTTAAACTGTTGGTAATTTGTCCAGGATTGTTTTTCTGTCGTGAAAAATGCAACAACAAAACACATCGTGTGCTCAAAAAGTGACACCATGATTTTGTACTGTTAATTTTAATACATTTTGTACTGTTAATTTTAGTACATTTGTCCTCGCCTGGATTTCTTTTTTAATTTTGTGTTTAAAACTTTGACCACTGATAAAGTGTTATACATCTTTTTTTTTTTCAGTACAACCTGTTATTTCACAATCTCCTGCTGTAGTTGTGTCATATGGCTGTAAAAAAAAAAAAAAAAAAAAAGCTATAGGACCAGAAATACTAATGAAAAAAAAAAAAAGAGTCAAAATAAAACTCACACTCTTTCATACAAACACACAGCAAACAACTTTTTTTGGGGAAAAAAAATGCTTAATTTAGGGTCTTAATTACAAAAGTGCAAAATATCAAGTCTGTAAGTCGAGGAGAAAATTCAGTTTGTCGACTGAATTTTTCTGAAGCTGCTCAGAACTGAAGAAGCAGCTTGGATGAACTGCGAAACATCATCAACCAAACTAACTTTGGTCCAGTCAACAAACTGAATTTTCTCCTGGACCTGGATTCTACCTGGACAACTGAGGGATTCAAGTCTGTAAATAAACTCAAAATCTTCTTATTGCCTCAAAACAAAACAAAAGTAGCATAGCAAGAGATGTGCAATTATGCAGACCAAAATGCGTAATTTGCAATTTATTTGAGAAATAAGTGCACTTAGAGCAACTTTTTCAATTGTTACAAAAACAGACGCTCAGAGCATCGACCATTTTGACTCACTACACTCTTTGGTAAAGTCTGGCCCAATCAAAATGGACGAAGCTCCATACTAGAAACGTAGGGAGTTTGACTGACAACCGAACAGCCAATAGATAAAGAGGGAGCCTCGTTATCCATTGGCTGATGTACATCTGGCCTCACTATGTCCACAGTTGATAGATTTTCATTCTTTTTTTTTTTTTTTTGGTCATCATAATTACAAGGCTGCTGCGTCTTTGTAATGGTATTTTAAACTTTCAATGACAATTTGAAACAAAACAAAAAAATGCTCCATACAACCTTTAAGGAATACGGTTTATGGGACAGAGCACACAAACAGTTCTTCGATAATAATAATATGCACTTTTTTTTTTATTTTTTTATAATGCATCCAGCCCTAGTCCTCCTAATGTGGAACAGGGTTTGGAGGTCCCCATCCATCCTGTGTGGACCTGAGCCTGTCTCCAGTCCTCATATGAGACATTTCTCTGCGTGTTTTTGTTGGCTCACCCTCGAGCTCATTTTTCAGCGCACGCTCGGACCTCCAGCCTGGAGCTCACACCACACTTCCTCCTCTGCTGCTCGTGTGACTGCAGAGACGGATCACGCTCATTCACATTTTTAGTCGCTCGGGTGCTTTTCGAGAGTCCTGGGACGCATGGAGAAAAGGCTACTTCCTGCCAAATGTGCAGTGCTTTAGACAGGTGGAAGAATTGAGGTTAACTTCTAATACAAAGTGATGGGACTTGAAAAGAACAGAAAGTGGTCCAGCTTCATTTAGCCTCAAGACCTGTGGCACTCCTCATGTCACTTTAAAGAATCTGTACCTGAGTTTTCCCCATGAATTTGAGCAAAATGTGTCTCACCCCACTTCAACTATATTGTAGAAGCAGGTCTTGAGGCCAAAATAAAGTCTAATTAAACAGCATTTTATTGTCCAATAATCATGAGGTGCATGTTAGAATACTAGTTGTTGTCAACTTTACTGTTACAGCAACTCTCTGCTCTGGTCCACAGACTGTATAAAGAACTCTGATCCCGTTTACACTGAAACAAATCTGAATATCACCATATCACCGTATCGGAAACGATCTGCGTCCAGACATGTCATTTCTGTATTTGTAATCAAAGCGTTCCCTGTCCAGAAACACAAAACCGCCTGAAACGGTAGTCACGTGATAGGTAGGCGTCACGTTGTCACGATGTCCCGACGTCACAAGCAAGAAGGAACAAGGAAGTATGAAGTTGCAGCAGCTGATTTTGAGCCGAGGGAGATGGCGAGAGTCTTTTTCGTGGACCGACGACAAGGTTCAGTTGTTACTTTTAAGATTTTAAGATGAGCACGGCAGCTCAGAGTGAGGACTGACTCGTTTCTGTGTCTGCAAGCCTCCACTATCCACACAGTTTTGAGCACATTTGTTTATGTTTTACAGAAATGAAACTTAAAACCACATGGCTCATTTACATAAACTGAGCATTGTGTCGCTGATGTGGTTCAGCTTCTGTCGGCCTAAAGGACACGACTCAGTGGATTATATGTGTTTTTTTCTGTGTCAGAGGGGTGTTCTGCTGATGGTGAGTTTGTTCTGTTCTTTTATTGCACTGGAGATGGTTCATGTTAAACTTTTCAGAGATTATACGGTCTATGCGTACAATCATATGCCGTTTATATGAATGGACATATATTCTTGCTTCTTAGCGTTTTGGCAATGAATTAGCTACTTCGCGGCGCATAGACCTACATAAGCGCATCTGTGTATCATTGTTTTCAGGCATCCACACAGTGCTGGATCAGATCTGTGCTCAGATGAATTCGTGGAAGCTAGAGGCACCAGATCGTTCTGTCTCTGGAGCCGTTTTCAGTTGGATTAGTGTGAACGAACACTGCATCCACAATGAAAATGACTCAAATACATACTAGTGTGGACAGGGCTAAAGCGAGTGTGACGTCACCCACAGCGTTTGACTCCAGACAAATGAAGATCATGGAGGCCTGCAGTTATAGAGTCCATATTTGGAATTACGACTGTGAGTATCATGGCAACCAAAGAGCCAATCAGGAGTGAGGCTGTTGAACGTACCACTCCTTCTCGCCCGCACCGCCGGTTTAGCAGGGAGTGGGCGCTTAGCAACATTGTCAGTCAAACCTGTTGCGAACATTAGGAAGAAGGTGCCTGATTTGTTATTGGTTTTTGCTCATAATTTGATTCATGGACAAAATTGTGAAATAAAAACAGCAGGATAATGTAGAATGCATGAATACGAACATTTTACAACCAAAATGACGAGCAGTGACAGAGAGAGCAGCGGCATTTTTTCAATACAAAATGACTTGGAGCCAGAGGCAGTGGAATCAAAAATGTGCCCATGCTCACCATCCATTTAAAACACAGCAGATAGCGGGTTAGATATGTCTATTTATATATACAGTCTATGGTTTGGTCTCTGAAAATACAGTCCCTGAGAAAAGTCTTGTCACTTATCCATTTTGTAGAAACAAAAGCTTATAACCTGACTTTAAATGAATCGATTGGTTTTAAATGTCTCATATGAAGCTAAAACCCTCCCAAATTATGCTCAATATACTAAAATAAATTTGCTTCACTGAAGAAAGATTGATCATTTAATGAACACAGAAAGGTCAGATTTTGGCAAGACAAAAGTTGTGTCGCTTACAGAAAATTTTACATATAATTTAGAGTTCATCAAGATTCTTTGGTTTTGCCTTCCATGTTTCCTCTTTCATTCTACCCCAGACCTGCTCAATGATGTTCATGTCTGGTGACTGGGCTGGTCAGTCCTGGAGCACCTTCATCTTCTTCACCTTGAGAAACTTTGATGTAGAGATAGAAGTATGTGATGGAGCACCATCCTGCTGCAAAATTTGACCCCTTTTATGGTTGGGAATGTAAGAGGAGCTAATACTTCTTGATATTTTAGGCTATTGATATTTGCCTTCCACCCTGCAAATGTCTTGCACACCCCCAGACTGGATGGAACCACAGACCATGACTTTTCCACCACCAAACTTAACTGTTTTCTGGGTGAATCTTGGATCCATGTGGCTCCAGTAGGTCTCCTGCAATATTTGCGGTGGCTGTGATGTAATTCAACCGAGGATTCATCTGAGAAATCCACCTTCTGCCACTTTTCCAGTGTCCATCCTTTTAACAGGCTGTGGGCCTTGGCAAATGCCACACGGTTTTTTAATTGCCTTTTGTTTAGTGCTGGTTTCTGTGCACTGATTCGACCATGGAGGCCATTTCAAGACAATTCTACAAACTGTTGTGGTTGACACAGGGACTTGAGGTGACCAGGCCTGGTGGAGTCTGCTGCAGTGGAAAAGGGGCCTTGGATTTTCTAATCAACAAACGGTCCTCCTGAGCAGTTGTCTTGCGGTGTCTGCTGGACCTGGGCTTGTCAAAAACATCTCCAGTCATTTCAGATCTTTTTCTTATTCTTTGTACTTGACGCTGAGACACATTGAAGGTGTCACCACCTCAGCAGTGGATCTGGTCTTCAGCCTCTTGATAATTAAGG